ACCACTGTGCCCCAGGGAAGTCCCTATTGTATTTTTCAACTCCAGAATTTCCACTTGTTTTTTTAAAAAATTATTCTTATATCTATTGATATTATATATTTGATGTGATACTGTCATAATACTGCCCTTTACTTCTTTAATCATGCTTTAAAAATTTTTTTGTGAACATATTTATAAGGGCTTATTTTGAAGTCTTTTTCTGTTAAGTCCAATACCTGGTCACTTTAACTGGCAGTTTGTGTTGACTGCTTTCTTTCTGCTTTATGGATCATGCTTTCCTGTTTCTTTATATGCCTCATAATTTTTGTTGGAAACCAAATATTTTAGATAATATATTGTAACTCTGGATACTGGTCGCCCTCTCCCAGGATTTATTATTTATTTATCTGTGTTTTAGTGATTTGCCTGGATTATTTTAGTGGAGTGTTAAATCTCTGACATTGTGCCTCTTGTTTTCAGCAATGCCCTGGGACATTGTTCTACACACAAATCCAATCATAGTGTGGGAAGAGTTTAGGAGCTGTTTTATGTCCTGCCTTTCCCTCTCCTTCTCCCTCACCAAAATCTTTGAGCCAGGGCTCTGGAGCTAGGGTTGGGGACAATGGCAAGCTTCTCTGTGAGTGACGCCCCCACTCTAGCTGTTGGACACTAGATGGAGGTGGGATGAGGGGTGGTAGCAGCCTGAGGTTCTCTTGGCTTGCCTCTCTTGGTATAGAACCACTGTTTCATGAGCCAGGGCAAGGATAATCAAGGCCTCAGTATTCTTAGTGTGCTATGCCCAAGGTAGAGTCTCTGTTTCTCAAGCGGGAACTCAGTCAAAGAAAGGAGCTCCCAACTTCTTGACCATTCTTTCCTGGAACTTAGGCTAGTAATAGGCGGTCGAGGGCCAGATGAGAAACATTGATGCCCTGCTCTTAACCAGGAAGAAAGCCCTCTGACAGGGTGCTGGGGGAGTGAGGCAGCCTGTGTTCTTCGCTTCAGCAGTCAGCGTGGAATCTCTTCCCTGCTGAGCAGTCTTGGCTCCAACACCACAGACTCTCACCTTTCTTACCATATTTCTGTAGGTTTTCTTGAATGGAAGTTTCTTTGTTTGCCCTTAGGACCATTTCCAGAGGCTTTAATATTTGTTTTAATAATTTCACCAGCTTCACTGGGAACAGGTCAGTGGAGTGTCTCATGCTGTCATTATAAAAGTCCATCTTCCCAGGTTGGTTTTTAAAGTTTTCTACAAGAGGAAGTACAGATAGCTTGTAAAAGAAGGTTTGAGTGAGGGGAAAAGAAAGGGAACTTGAGTGAGAAAACAGTGACATTTTTAAGTTGATAGGTTCACAGGAGATATAGGCTAATGAAGGAAGGATTTTGTGGTATGATGGGAAGATAAAAGGAAGGGACAGAAGTAGCCTACTTCATTGTTTGGATTCCTTTATGAGTTTGGGCTATTTAAAGACTTGGACTAAAAGTTTTGAAAACAAAGTGTTCTTTGTGAATGTGTGGTTTCTGTTTGCTGAACAAATAGCTTTTGTTTTGTTTTATTGACGTATAGTTGATTTACAATGTTGTGTTAATTACTGCTGTACAGCAGAGTGACTCAGTTATACGCATAGACATTCTTTTCCATTATGGTTTATCACAGGATATTGAATATAGTTCCCTGTGCTATACAGTAAGACCTTGTTGTTTATCCATTCTATATATAAAAACTTACATCTGCTAACCCCAACCTCCAACTCCATACCTCCCCCAACCCTCTGCCCCTTGACAACCACCAGTCTGTTCTCTATGTCCATGGTTCTGTTTCAGTTTCATAGATAGGTTCATTTGTGTCATATTTTAGATTCCACGTATAAGTTATATCATATGGTATCTGTCTTTCTCTTTCTGACTGACTTCAGTTAGTATGATAATTTCTAGTTGCATCCATGTTGCTGCAAATGGCATTATTTTGTTCTTTTTTATGACTGAGTAGTATTCCATTATATATATTTAGCACATCTTCTTTATCCATCCATTCGTCTGTCAATGGACGTTTAGGTTGTTTCCATGTCTTGGCTATTGTGAATAGTGCTACTATGAACATGAGGGTGCATGTATTTTTTTGAATTATAGTTTTGTCTGGATATATGCCCAGGGGTGGGATTGCTGGATCATATGGTAATTCTATTTTTAGTTTTCTGAGGAACCTCCACACTGTTTCCCACAGTGGCTGTGCACCAACTTACATTCCCATCAACAGGGTGGGAGGGTTCCCTTTTCTCCATAACCTCCCCAGCATTTGTTACTTGTAGACTTTTTTTTTTTTTTTTTTGCGGAGCACAGGCTCTGGACGCGCAGGCTTGGCGGCCATGGCTCACGGGCCCAGCTGCTGCTCCGCGGCATGTGGCATCTTCCTGGACTGGGGCATGAACCCGTGTCCCCTGCGTCGGCAGGCAGACTCAACCACTGCGCCACCAGGGAAGCCCCACTTGTAGACTTTTTAATGATGGTCATTCTGACCAGTGTGAGGTGGTACCTAATTGTAATTTTGATTTGCATTTCTCTAATAATTAGCAGTGTTGAGCATCTTTTCATATGCCTATTGGCCATCTGTATTTCTTCTTTGGAGAAATGTCTCTTTAGAACTTTTGCCCATTTTTCGATTGGGCTGTTTTCGTTGTTGTTGTTGAGTTGTATGAGCTGTTTGTAAATTTTGGAAATTAAGCCCTTGTGGGTCGCATCGTTTGCAAATGTTTTCTTCCATTCTATAGGTTGTCTTTTTGTTTTGTTTATGGTTTCCTTTGCTATGCAAAAGCTTGTAAGTTTGGTTAGGTCCCATTTGTTTATTTTCACTTTTATTTCTATTGCCTTGGAAGACTGACCTATGAAAACATTGGTACGATTTATGTCGGAGAATGTTTTGCCTATGTTCTCTTCTAGGAGTTTTATGGTATCATGTCTTATTTTTAAGTCTTTAAGCCATTTTGAGTTTACTTTTGTGTATGGTGAGAGGGTGTTGAACAAGTAGCTCTATCCCACTGTTTAGTGTGTTATTTTAAAATGGAATACATTTTTTCTGATTTTAGTTTATTTTTGTGCCTAAATCCTTTTAGCAACCCCCCTAGAAGCATTAATAAACCCAAATTAGACTTTACTACTTATAACATTGAAGTCACACACCTGTGAGAAATTTTTAATCAAATTTTAACTTTATACTCGACAAGAAAAGTTGATTCATAGAGCAGCTGTGATTTAGCAAACTTGGATTATTATATTCAAAGCTGCTAGTGTATGTAGTGCTTTTTGTGATTTTTTTTTTTTAATAGAGTGACAGTTATGTGTTCTTCAGGAGCCATAAGGCTTGTTTATTAAAAACACTCAGCTACAACATCATATTAACATGATAAATGTAGTTTCTTTTTTTCCTCTCAAAAATTTGGTGCCAGTCTGTCTGAATCAAATGATTTCAATGGAAATTAGGAAGCTAAAGGGGTTTTCTGTTTTCAGAAGCAAGTGAAAAGCACTGAGCATTGTCTGTATACCTCCTTCTCTTTACCTAAAAAATTTTTGCTTTAATCCTGTTCATTGGGAAACTGTAAAATAGTATTTCTCCCTCTCTATCAGTATCTTTCAGTATAAATTGTTGTGGCTTATTCATATTTTCTAAATGTTTATTTCATTTTTTATGTTGGATTTTTATAAATCAGATCAATACATACTTCAGTCCTGATAGTGTGTGTGAGGGGTAAAGATAATTGTGAAACCAGGTCACATTTGAGATTTCAAGGCATAAGTGCCCAGCAATTTAAATGACTGCAAGGTAAGAGTGAAAGCAGTGCGTGTGGTCTGCTGTGATGTAGGACCTAAAGCTGATTATAGAAAGTGTTTAGGGTTTGGGTAGGCTTTGAGGAATAGGGAAAACCTCCAGTTGGTACAAAAGGCTTGAAAGCAGGAATATGCATGGCATCTTCTGGGTACATGAGGTGACTACACTTCCTAGATTGGAAGGTTTCTAATAAGGAAAAATACCATTGGAAAGATTAATTGTGGTAGACCTTGAATATGAAACCAAGAACTTTTGACTATCTTTTATATTGTGTGTGGTTAGTGAGAAGGCATTAAAGCTTTTGAGCAGACAAATGTCATGTCTAGTGACAGCGTGTAGGGTTAGTTGAAAACAATAGGCCCTCAAGCCCAATTTTCTCATTTTCTTTGTCTTTTGCTTTAATGGAGGAGTATGAATTATGTTTCAAATTAAAGCTTACAGTTTGTAACTCACCACAAGCTTCTACATAAAACCCAAGAGTATTAACAATGAGCACATAAAGACCTGAATAATTCATAGGTATCTGAAGTGTTACGTAGTCAACTAGTCAAACTAGCTTGAATTCTGGTTATGCCACTCACTGTGTAATGTTGAACAAATTCTTTAACCTTTCTAACCCTCACTCTTTTCATCTGGAGTGGGAAGTTAATCATATTGCCCACTCAGGATTTTGAGCATTGAATAAGATATAAAGCATGTAAAGCTCTTAGCACACTGCCTGGCAAATAGTAAACATCTCTGATAAATACCTTTGCTGCTGTTAATTGTTGTTGTTATTATTATTATTTATCATTATCTAGTACTACTCGCTATCCAATTTTATTGTTTCCATGGTACATTGCATTCTGAATTTTGATCTTTTACTGTAGGAACACTTTTCCCATCTGGTCCAGAAAGAATCTCCCTCCTGTCCCACCCAAGTTTCAGGGCCCACTGTTGGCTTCTAGATTTTCTTTTCCTTTGTTCTAGGTGTCCTGCCTTGTCAATGAGGGCATGCCAAAAAACCAGGAAGTCTGGGTGCCACCAAGAAGGCACTATTTGCTGCCAGTTATGGGGGAGTGTGGTAAGCTCTGGTTTTATAGGGCACATGCAGCATTAGATGTTTGTTTTGTGTTGTTTTCCTACAGGTAGGTTTTGTTATTACGCTTTAAAGTGTGGTGTTTATTATTCAGAAATTTAGACTTATCTTTACTTTTGTCAGGTTTAAGCCGTTTTTCCCATTCCAAACCTTGCAAGGATTCGAAGAAGATGATGAAGAGCATATCCATATACAACAATGGGCACTTACTGAAGGCCGCCTTAAAGTTACATTGTTAGAATGTAGCAGGTATGTTCTTTGTTTTGTCATTACTACATTATAGGAAAGAAAGTACACTGAAAATGTACTTGAGCAGTATTTGTGTTTATTCCCCGCTGTGTTAATTTATATTGTATTATCTGTAAATTCTTTCATTGTAAATTTCATAAAAGTAGTGCTTTCCAACTTATAAAAAATACAAACTATATTTTAGAAAGCATTCTAATGGCAGGGGTGATCATTTATCCTGCAGTAATTTCCAAACTTTTTAGATACATAGTGCTCTGTTGGCATATTTCTTACTACCTATTAGAAAGCTGTTCATAGCATAACAGTTTTGAGAACTGTTTTTGATAATTGGAAATAAATACCCTGGAAAGTTGCAAAACCAGACTTGTAAACTCCTGTGATTCTTAAAATTTTAGAGCTGGAAGGGAATCTCAGAAATAATCTTGCCCAGCCTCTTTATTTTTCCAGCCCCGTAGTCTAAGCTGTGTTCATACTTTGCTTGAACTACTTGGAGGCTACATTAGCCTCCTTACTTATCTCCTGACATGGGTTACCATTATGACAACCAGAATGAGCTTTTCAAAATGCATATCTGATTGTCACTTTCCTACTTAAAATTCTCTGATGGCTTCCCCATTCCTCTTAGAATATAGACCCAAATCTTTTTCATGGCTTGCATGCCCCTCTTTACCTCTCTAGTTTCTTTCTCCACCCAGCCCCTCACTCACAGTGCTTCAGCCACACAGGCCTTCCTAAGAGAAGAGGTTGGCAAACTTTTTCTCTGAAGGGCCAGATAGTAAATATTTTAGGCTTTGTGATTCACATGGTTTCTGTTGCAACTACTCAACTCTGCCTTGTAGTGTGAAAGCAGTCATAGACAGACAACAGGTAAATGAATGGGCATGGCATGGCTGTGTGCCTGTAAAACTTTATTATATGAATTTTATAATTTTTATGTGTCATAAAGTTCTTTTGATTTGTTTTTTTCAGCCATTTAAAAATGTGAAAACCATTGGTAGCCCACAGGCCTTATAAAAACAAGCAGTGGACTGGATTTGGCCCATGGACCATAGTTTGCCATTCCCTGCCTTAGATATTTTAACGTACCAAGCTCCTGTGTTGACTCTCCACTATTCTCCCGGCTGAAGGCCCTATCCCATCTTCTGTTCCTTGAGACTAGCCTTTCTTGCTTCACCTTAAAAGCTGCCTCCTTACTGTGTCTCCTGATCATTCCAACTACAAATATACTATCCTTATGCTACATTTCTGTGACCACTTATTTGTTGCTTAATCACTCTATTTTTATTTTCAGCCCATAATAAAAAATAAGTGCTTGAGTCCAGAGGTTTTATTTTATACCAAATATATCTGTATCCTTGCTAATAGGTTAATTTTGAGTATACCAATAATATGCTAAATATTTTTTTAAGTCTTGGAGTGAATCAATATTGTGTACGATTATGTCAGAAAGTCTAGTTTAAAGGGAATTCTTTTATCAAAGAAAGACTGAATATGCTGTAAATTTTGTAAAAGGGACTGCAATGTACAGTAAAATGATGTATACAATAAAAATACGACTCTACGTAAGTCTGAATTTGAAGTAGCTAAGCCAATACGCTATGGTAAAAGCATAAGTATTAAATCTCTCCTGTCTAAAATCTAATTATAATTATATAAATTATATAAATTATATAAATATCTAATTATAATTATAAATATCTAATTATAATTTGGGCTTGTCATATTATCATTTGGAAGGATGTTTGTCAAGTGGCCTGTGTCTGAGGAAATTTTGGACTGATACTTTCTTTCAGTGAATTTTCTTATAGATTCACAGGCATCAAAATCATACCATTGGGTTATCTTTTCCAAAATAATCATAGCAACTTCTAAACATTTGAAAGGCAGCTTTGTAAAAATTTCTTGACTCTCCTGTTGTTAATTCCTACCTACCTATTCACCCGCCCATCCCCAAACTTGCAAAGATAGCCTTGAAGAAGGTTCATTGATTGATTCATTGAACAGATATTTAATGCAGTGTATATGATGTGTAATCGGTACTGTGCTAGGAACTTTAGAAAACTAGTTCTTTTGTCTTGGTGTTGCTGATGGGATTATGAATTAATTATATGTCTGTTGTTTGCGGCTTTTTTTTTTTGCGGTACGCGGGCCTCTCACTGTTGTGGCCTCTCCCGTTGCGGAGCACAGGCTCCGGATGCACAGGCTCAGTGGCCATGGCTCACGGGCCTGCATGTGGGATCTTCCCGGACCGGGGCACAAACCCGTGTCCCCTGCATCGGCAGGCGGACTCTCAGCCACTGCGCCACCAGGGAAGCCCCCTGTTTGTGGCTTTTTAACCACTAGCTCTTGTTGTCTCCTTTGCTCACCATTCTCTTGCTTTATTTGAGATACTGCTCACTTAAAATCTTGGGTCAGCCTTGAACCCAAGACTGCAGGAAGGCATTGAGAGAGTGTAGTCAGGCATTATTTAGGTCATGTTGAATTGAAATAAATAATACAAAGAAAAACATTACAATTTGTGAAGTATATGTATCCTATTTTATTTTAATAAGGAACTGTATAATGAATCTCTGAAAGAATATAGAAGAAACCAATAAAAACTTTTATGGGGAAAAGGTTGAAGGAACTGGGTTAATGATGATGGACAGGGGTGAAGGTGAGAGCCAAACTTTTCACTATAACCTTTTTTATACTGTTTGATTTTTGTGACTGTATCACCTTGTCAAAAAATTTTAAAATAAAGACCAGTATTTCTGGAGAGTTGAAGGAGAAAGCATGGACAGTAGTTCATGTTCTTATGTTAGTCCTTGTAGGCCAGCACCTTTCCCCAGGTGACAGCTTAATCTTGGGAACAAGCACACTATCTCAATAGTGTTTTAGTCACTATCTTTAAAAACCCAAACATGTAAAGTTACTTAGTGTTGTGGTGCTATGTGTTATTCACACAGTTTAAGGATTACTTAAAATTGTTAATGAAGAAGAGAATAAATTACTACTTACTATTTTCAACTCATTCCTG